TGCGGATTCGAACCCGCGACCCTCAGATTGTGAGTCGAGCGCCTTATCCACCTGGCCATGCCGGGCCCTACAACATAGAGAGCAATTTAAAGAGACGTTTATAAGTCTTAGTTAGCCTATACAACAGCTTTTCTTTAGTTCTATGCTATTGAAGCCTATTAGTTTTAGCCAAAGCCTCCAGGGCTGGGTGTACATTTCAGGTGCGAATCCCTTAGTTTATACAGTGACCAAGTTCAAGAGTTCGTGAATGTTATCTTCCATAACGTTGAGCGCAAGGGTCACCAGACCTTTAAGGAATTCCTGCAAGAAGGCAAAGTTTATGAACGTCCACTGTTACGGTAAATATCACAAACTAACATTCCGCTTCTACTCTACTTTTCTCAACGTAATGAAAGAACTTAAGATTTTCACAATCGTTCTCTGTACTTCTTTGGGTCTTTCACTCATGGTTATTTATAGCTAAAACATATAGTTTTTATTTTAATTTATGAGTAATTAACTCTTCCCATGTGATCTTAAAATACGAAATTAATTCAACCCTTAATATATTCATATAAGAAATTGATTCCTCTTTTTGTCAATCATACAGGTCTGCCTGATGTTCTAAAAGTTATGATTCCATCTTATCAAATCATCTAAGCTTACAGAAACTTTTGTCGTTAAATGGACAGTTCAAGTATAGGAGTTAACAACACTATATTGAAATAAGTTGGGCGTGATCTAGTGGTTAGCTTGCCGAACTATCAGTCCGAGGGCTCATGGCTTGTGTCCCGTATCCGCAAGATCTGGCTCCGCACTTTCAGGTCCTGGGCGCTATAGAATTGACGATTAAATCCCAATATTCGATTAGAGTGGCCCAAGGGTTTACGATGGGCGCTGTTGATTAATGCCGTCACTCTAGCCTATCACTTCAAAAAAAAGGGGCGGCTAGCGCTTGTAGTTCTTGTGTAGCTCTGCACAAATATTCAAAGCAAATAAACAATCATATTTAAAGTACGTTACTGAATATTCGAATAACACTGAAGTTAACATCAAATATTACAATAAAATACACTTTTTGTCACATCTTTGTTGATATTATTTCATCGAAATATTAAAACATTTTTGTCACTCCCTACGGTTAATGGTGATTTTTCTAAGTGTCTGTCCCAAGGGCTGTTCGTTATTTTTTAAGAAACATCTGTCTTTCTAGTAAATAACCATAAATGTCTAGACATTGCGTGATGGTAAAGTTGAAACACTAATGTTTTTCGTGCCACTCAATTTCGCTGTCCATTTAGGCATTAATTAATGACTTTAGTTTTATGCCTATTTTGGTAAAAACTTTGTTAACTGATATATTTGGCATCTTTACTACAAGAAAGAACTTAGTATTACATGTGGCATGTCAACGGTAAGAAAATTTTATGTAGATCGGAATGTTTGCGAGCAGGAAAATGGTTATGGACAACCGGTTTTAAAACCAGAATCTTGTATTCCATTTTCACTGTATATATAATTTAACGGACTGAAAGAATTTAGAGTTGTTAAATATTTTTTTTACATAAAATACTATTTGGTGTGTGAAAATACGAGCTAATCAGTTCAACTAAGATTGTTCGGTTGTACAAAATGTGTTGTAATTGAGCTGGGAGTATCGTTAAATATGCAGGACGTAAAGATTGAAGGTGATATTTACGTTTTGATATGTTATGTACTATCAAATATCTTGTGTGAAAAGTTCTAAAAATGTTAGGGTTAATAAAAATTACAAATTATTTACTCTAGTTACGTACTGACAGTTTAAATATAACAATGTTTGAGGACACCATAGTTGTTACACTTGTACAAATACGTACATGTTTTCTTGTTTACACGTTTTTTTTTCCAATAGAAACTATGATAGTATCGTGAATGTTATTAGAATCTTTTATTTCCAATAACAGTTATCATGATGGTATTTTCTTTTCAAAACTCTAAAATAACTTAGTTTTGTTTCATCTTTAACTCCGCCTTCAATCTAACTTTTAAATAATGAAAAAAGTTGTTCTGCAACAACGTAGAGCATACAAGTTAATCTAAGTGAGCAACCTATTTGAGACCTGAGTGTTCGTAACGCATACTGAAGAAGTTTTGACATCTTTAAACAACTACAGTCGGTTATATTTCAGAAATTTAAAGTTGTTTTAGTTTAGTTTCTTAACGTTTCACCTAGAGAACAAAACTGCTGTATTCTAGCAAAGCCGAACTTACAACTAGTTTCGCTAATAAAGCCTACATAAGAATACAAACGTAACTCGAAGAACACGTACAAATGTGTTCACTTAACACTGATAAACATATGGGAAAGAAGTAATAGAATACCACATACTTAAGTTCAAAACATATTCACTGACAATTCTGAAAGATTTCGGTTGGAAATCAATGCATGATAAGTAAATGTACATTTGTTCTTTAAAGTTGTCTACGTATGTGTATTTAGACAACTTTCCTGGGACGTGTAGCTATATTGAAGATTACAGTTCTCAGAAATATGTAGTATGCATGGAATATTCTACTGAAACAAAACTTTTTGTAGTCGTTATTCTATATGTTTTCCTGCTCTAGGAAATAAGAGTAA